GAAATTGATTTCCAGGCACGCTTCACACATTCAGGCTTGCTAGACACTGGTCAAGAGTGAAAGCGGAAGTGGTCTGACAGCGACCAGAAAGTCCAAAATGAATCGCAGAAGGCTAACAAAATGAAGGTATCGATTGTGATTGTGTATGATAAAAAAAGTCGAGGAAATGGACTCTAGAGGCTACCTGACATCGTTCCATGTTCAACGACATGACTCCTCTTTCCCCATATATTAGGCACTCCCATCATTAGGACCCCCTCCTGCCATCGCCATTCTCATCTCAAAGTGATTACTAGGGGGATACAATTGCAAAGTCAACACTACGAGTGTCCTGGTAGGCGGAGCCGGCAACAAAAGAAGCTGAAAACCTCGTTTCCAAGCCTTTTTTAAGAGTAGACAGTAGCTTGTATTTCCTTTCCTCCTTTCTCCAACACCTTATCAATATCTCGTCTAAAAGATAAGGTTATCTTAAAATGTGCTTCCGATGTTCCGGTTGAGAAAAGTCAAACTAGAAAATTGGAAAACTTCCTTTTATAGAACAGCAGTTAGCAGTGAAATAGTTTCTTAGCGCCTACGCAGATGTGCCCATGAAAAGGGTAATGAGTCTCTGGGCTATTTTTGAAATGCCTTGTCAACGTAGAAGCATTATTCCGCTCCAGGCTCTATTCCTTTCTCCGATGAAAAAAGCCTTCACACCAGTTGAATTCGTTTTACCCAAATATCAATCTCTTTCCATAAACAGATCTCCTGTAATCTGTAAATGAAAAGGAAGTTCTTCTTACCTATCTTCACAGTAGGACCCAAAAGCATTGCTGTCTTGAGCGTTTTGCAGCTCCATAGCCGACTGATACAGTGCCTCATCCACTGGCAGCTGAAATCAGTCTAGTACACGACATTCTGGGATCAACCTCATTACAGTCTTGTTCGCTGCGGATGAAGAGAGGTGGAAAAAGGATTTGGCACCGCGCAAACCCATGCCACCTGACACGTTCGTCCCCAAAGAACAAGACTATAACTCGGAAACGTTGGCGCTCTATCTGATAGCTTCATCATTTTTGGTCGGTGGAGAACCTAGAGATCAAACCTTCGAAATCTTTTTCAAATTCGATGTGTGCAGACATGATCTCTCGAATTCTTTTTGAAAGCTCCTCAGGAGCTTAGAAAACTCTTAGATGATTGTAGTTAATATATGCATGTTCCTCTCTTGTCTTGCGCTCTCCTCTACCCTTGTCTAATCTGTTTCCATTTGCTAGTAAAACATCCACACAGCAGCGAAAAAAAAACAACTTGAAAAGCGGTCAAAGATGGGAGTTTTTGTTAAACCATTATATCATTCCATTTCACTTGAGCATCGAAATACTGAAGATATAGGTAAACTATGAAAATCTTTAGAATTTATTTAGCAAAACAGCAAAAAAAAAGAGCTCATAGTATAAGCGAGTAATAATAACGGCCAAAATAAAACCCCCATCGCCGGTGATTGAAGAGGACACAGTAAAAGCTGTCCACCTGAAACCCCACCGAGACACCTATGGGGCGGGGGGGAGCTTCAAGACTGTTAGCCGAAAAGGCCTATCGACTATTATATATGTCAGTGTTCCTTGTAGCTTTGGAAATCCTTCGCTCAAGCAATTGTTAACGTGTCCTTCCCTGTTCAAGTACACATTACCTCAGGCTCTATGATATATTCCACATCGCGGCTTCCCTAGTATGTGAGCGAAAGCGCTTTGCAATTAATGACTGCAGCTTCTGATCCCTTCCCGAGTTCCTCCGCCCACTAAAACTCGAAAGGCTATTCCCTGCCCACGGATTCATTTTCTACACCGCTGTCTCTTTTTTCTTTTTGCTCTTTCAGCAGTTAGATAAGTACTGGACACTGGATGACGCGAAGAAACATTCAGTGCACAGCGGCAGCGGCCAAGATATCCTTTCCTTTTGATGAAACGAGCAGGTCCGCGAGAACTGATACACTAAAGGCACTGACAAGTGTCCTTGCCTGGAGTGCTTATCGGTGATTTTTTTGATTTCGTTGTTGCCCTCGCAGACGCTCATTCTAGCGATCATAAATTTTAGTAATCTGAACGCCTTTTAAAACAATATGAAATCGCGGGGCCCGTCTTCAAGGAACCAATAATCGAATATTCGTTGATACCCCCGCAGGTGCTATGGAGGAGAATGAGGGCTATAACAAGTCTAGTGCGCAATGAAAAACAACTACAGAGCGCTAACCAATTGTTTTTTTGTAGCATTTCAGCTGGCTACTTCCTGTTTCACTGTTGCGTAAGCTTTTAGTAACTTTAAAACGTTACGTGCGAGCATTTTCCAATTTTTTTCTTACCTACGACTTCGGGCCAGGAACAAAAGGAACAACTCTTGAAACTTTCTCTCCGAAACCGTCGAAAAACCATGAACACGGCTATGGAATTCTCTGTCATCCACCTTATGCCTTAGACCCTTTTTTGCCGTTCCTCACATTTTCAAGCATGGAATTCCTACACGATGATGCAAAATTCTAAATTACCCCTCCGAAGCCCGAACAGCAGCACCGGCGCATTAGACGATTTGAACCTGATCGTTGCACGTGATTAAACGATGCTGGCTGCCTGCTGCTGCCTGCCTATATCTACCTGCGAAATCTGGTAGCAACATGAAAATGCTTTCGCTATGAGAAGCATTCCATCTAATAAAGAAATTCCATATTTTTGAGCTACGCAAGCGCTCTCTAGCGCCTTGAGCCGCTGCACCATCTCTCCTGGATTAAACAAGCTCTCATTCGTGAAGTATGGGATGAAAAGTGGAAAAGGAATAATAACCTGTGCTTCCGCCAAATATGTGCATTTCAACGCTATATACACATAGGAAAGACGCAAGCATGAAATAATCGACCTTATAAATAATTTGATGAATTTCATGGGAAAAGGTGCATAAATAGACTCTCAAGAGCAGAGGAAATTGCTCATTTCCTTCGATCAAACTCGCATAAACTACGCTTTTTCCTTGCCAATGGAAGCTCTCAGCTGATTTTGCTCCCTTAATTATTTTTATTCACTTCACTTAATATTCGACAAGCTGTTTTCAGGTGCTTCGCCATCAAGCGCATTATATCGAATCACCATCAAATGGGACACTATATATAAATGATTATGCAATGGGTTCAGAGGATGTATGGCCGAACGACGGCACTACCTTTTATTCTGGTTGGATTTTTCAATTTTTTCTGCAGTTATAGCGGACAATTTTGCCGGTGCGCTCGCCCCCCTTTCCAAGCGGACAATACCGGAAAACCCATCATGAAAGGCAGGACTCTTCGAAACTCGGCATCACCCTGACCAGAACGCTGTGAGCGCCTACCATTGCCGCCACTGGGCGCAAGCTCTTTACCCTCTTAAACCTGAACAGCCTATTTGTCGACACACCCGCTCTATGCTGCCAGATGCGGGTCGAATCCCGCCTGGGTACATTTTTGCGCATGCACTAGCATGGGCGCCTTGGGGAGGGGAATCAATGCGAGCAACTATGTAGTCTCATTTCTTACTTTCAAACTGCGATCAAGTGTTGATGAGGGGCTTCCTGCGAAGCCTGCAAGATTGAGTACAATTCCATGGGCCATTCCTGCGCAACGACAGCGCTGACCAAGCCCAAGCACTAGAACGTCATTGTTTGGTATATGCTAACCCTGAAGAAGATTAGAACTTTCCAGAGGAAAATTCAAATGCACGGCGTTTTTTCAAGACAACATATGAACACAGCCCAGTTGACTACACGTAACGTCCTGCGCCCCTCCCCCTTTAAAGGAGAGATTGACCCAAAAAGCCTCACGTTTCGAGCTGCTCACTGTTTCCTCATTCATTTACTTATCTGGTTACAGTGTTTGATCCACTGATTAGCGGAACCTTCCAATTTTCTGAGGCCCACGTATGACCGCGGATAAAACCATCGGGGCGCGAGGCACAGCTTGTGAGCGTGTCGCCATTCTTTTCTTTTTTGTCGTTTACACAGTCCGTTGCCCACCCTCAAATCTGTTGAACTCCCGCCAAGCAGCCTTGAAGCTCCTGTCCAAGAATGAAGTTGGTCGACAGCGACAGTAAACTTGCCCATTTCCATTTTTTTCCAAGTCCTGACCTGTCATTCGCTGACAGGTTTGGCCCAGGAGTATCAGGCTCCTTCACAGGTTGGCATTAACAAACGAGGGAGGGGAAAAGCTGTCCATATTTCGCCATAGGGATTTTTTATGCAAACAAGCGCTTATCGGTGCAGCCCACCCAAAGTTACTGACGTCTTCTTTAAAGGCAAAGCCCGCGACCACAGATTGTGGGTAACGGAACCCACATAGGAACGAAAAAGGGCTAGGTATCTGATTAGCGGAGAAAAGCAGCAGAAAAACAGCCGAAAATGCCCTAAATAGGATTCCATATCGACCCCAACTTGTACATGCATGCAATGAAGAAAACGCATGTTTGTACGAATTTCCACTCGTCGTTATCATAAAGATATCAGCTCTTTTATCGTATCACCTCACTCTCACCATTCGGAATGGAGAGAGATAGCATAGTGGCTACTAGCTAGTAGCTAGCAGCCGGTGGGGTCGGCATGGGCCTAAGGGGCGCCCATGGGCCTAATTGGTTAGCTTAAGCGGAATTCTTGCCGATTTTCACTTTCTAAAGGTAGCGCAGCCTCCGCAATCTCCTTCCGGATCGTCTGACACATTTGAAAGGTCATAGCCTTATTTTATCGCGGAAAGTGCCTTTAAAATTATCGTACACCCTTGGAACTAGGGCCCTATTTCTTTACATAACTACTCACAAGCAAAAGAACATTTTTCTTTCACTATTAAATAAAAATGCGAATCGCGCGCTATTCAAATACCGGGCAGCGTTCGGCTTCGCGACGACGCGCTGCAATTGCAATGCACCAATACTATAGACGCGAAAGCAGCCGCAGACGGCAATCGATTGGCGCCAGCCGCTAGTGTTCTGAGAGAGAGTACGAATAACAGGAGAGTAAGCGCTGCTCTCATGTCAGACAATCTAGTACCCTCCGATTCCTCAAAACTCTCTCAAAACACAAGCGGCGCCGAGCGTTTGACCCTTACGGTCGCATTCGCCTAGAGAAATTGTAGCGCGCCGTTGCGTGTTACAGCGCGTTAAAGCGCGTCGACGCGAGTCCATCACGACGTCTGAACGCTGCCTAAGCGATTTACTATAATTTGTCACTTTCTGATTTGGAAATTCAGCTTCCTATGTATAACTTTTTTATGAAACTTGACGTAGTTCCTTTCCCACTCACCTTCTTCACTTCAACACTATAATGCCACATTTGCTTCGCATCGTCCCATTCACGATAGTGCGTTGCCATACGTCCTCCCTTAGCGAATGACGATCCTACGGGTGCTGCACTTACCCATGCGGGCACAATCGTAACGTCCAGGTGGGCGACACTTGTGTTCTGAAAAACTAATGGACTTCGTAACTGCACCACATAATGTTGCAGCAAATTTCATTTTTGCTGACTTCAGAAACTAGGAAAGTACACTGAAAATTACAGCTTTTGCATCACCTACTATTACAAAGCTGCGCTTAATATTCGCTTCTCCTCACCTCTGCTCCTCCTTCAATCGATCGAAATTCCGTTGGATGCTGGTAGTACTGAATTGCCAACAAATCCGGTCGGGACTCCGACCACGAAATTGCTCGTACTTTATCATTTTGCAGAACCTAAGGAATACTTTATAGGGAGTCAGTAATCAACCAAATCCTTGACTTAGGTCAAAAATACCCGGTCCAAACCCATATAGCCAAAAAATAGCTATCAGAACATCTCTGCCTTTTTGCTGCATCCTTGAACTTCTCCCCTTGAGCAAGCAGTGTTTATGATATGTACGGCTAGGCTTGTTTTCCAGAGAAACAAGTCCAATATAAAGGAATTACACTGTGGGCCTGTCTGGCCCGCTCAAACAGGCAGCGGCTGTGAAGGCTAATGCCGTTGACATCCAGAAATTTCGGCTGCGAGCTCATTTTCAAATTGCCTAAGTCACCAAATCCACTAAAAACTTGTATATAGGGGTAATTCAACATCCTGATTACGAGTATGACACTCATTCTTGGCGCTGGCGCCAAGAGCGACATACGTATAACCTCCTGGCTCAGGACCTTAGCAGAGCGCAGATAAGCGTTATGCTCAATCTAAGTAGCGCCAGCGCCAATTCGAGATCAGGAGGCTTAACTACCCCTATGTACAAGTTTCTCAGCGCATTTGGTACTTAAGCAGTTTGAAAACGGGCCGGCTGTCCGAAGTTTCTGGATAGGTCCAATGGCGCGGGAGTGGAGAGTGGGCATATAGATTACCGGTCTTTGTGCGAGACGACGCGGTTCGGGCCGCCGATGGTCAACAAGAGAACAGGGCATTTTCCGTGGTGAGCGATCGTGTAGTACGTCCGCTAGGCAGGTTTATCAAACAACAGCAACGCCACATTTTGCAGGCCGACAAATTTGTTTGCGGGCACAATCATGAGCTTACACTTGAACAGAAGCGTACCTCACCTCCTGTGTCCTCGCACTTCGCCCATTTATGGGGGGAATAGCCTCAGACTGCAGTAGCATGCCATTTCTCCGCTTAAAACGCATAAGGACCGGGGGAGTTGGAGGCTCGCATGCCGTTACATAATCTCACCGCCGTCGCCTCAGCCCCAGCGAGACGCCGATAGCCATAGCCAAACGTGCTACTTGTCTGCGCCTCACTCCTAACTGTTCTCTACTGCTGCGTAAACGTTTCGCTGCGGGACCTTAGTAGCGATGCAACTGCTGCACTTTGTAGATGGCGTGGGAGGAGTTTAAAGACGGCATCTGGGCATCACTACCATCCAACCCGCGGAGAAACTGGCACGCTACTGTAGGCGGTCCCATTCGCCTCGCACATGGAAGGGAAAGCCCTCGAAGGTGAGCGTACAGTTTGTTTCTGAAAAGCCCTTTTACACTGAAATTGATGCCCCCGAAAAGTAGAGATATTCATCATTCATCTTAATAACAACTCCTTATTAGGCAGTTCCTGAGAGAACACCATTGGTAAGTCAAAGCTCCGAATTTGCGTTTTCCTACACTACCGTCAGGAAGCCCTAGTTATCAGGTAACGAGTTCCAACTGATGAAGCACTTATCAAACTGCCTGACTCTACAAGATTCACCCAATTGGATTCTCACACTAAATCGGGTAACAGTCTCAGGGCCGCAGAGTCGCTTTTTCTCTACGCAGGGTACAGCATCGTGATGTGTCAAATGGTGGTGTCAGTACGACCTTCCCCCGAAGGAGGGTCTCGGTACGACCCCCACCTAAGAGAGGGTCTCGGTACGACCCCTCCCCCTTCCCCAACACCTACCTACCACTTTCCTACAAGTTCCCAGCTTCCTACCACTTTTTCCGAAATTTCTCGAAAATTTTCCTGCTTTTCCCAAAAATTTTACTGACGAGCAGGGGAGGGGGGAGGGAGGTACATAGCCAATGGGGAACGGGAAAAACTGCGAAAAGTCAATAACCGGAAAAAATTCAAGGCGGCAAATTTCTCTCAAGGGCATATACGACCCCTCTCTCCCAACAAGGACCAAATACGACCCTCCTCCCCAGCGGCCAAGAACGACCCCCCCCCACCTGTGTTTCACACAACGATGCTGTACCCTGTCTCTCTGCTGCCTTGCTGCTCGTCATTCGTCGAATTTATGATGACGATGATCGTTTCTGTTTTGGGAAACCCCCCACCTAATAACATAAAAATCATTTACACGTTAGCTCGTGCGTAGATAGTCGCGTAGGTAGTCGTTAGTCGCATAGGTAGTCGTTCCAATCCAAAAAACAATGCGCTGTTTCATTTAGTTCAAGGAAATGGCAAGAATAATGCGATGACAATGGGCGTTTCGGGGAATATTCGCCTGCCGGCTTAATAAAAGTTCGATGCACCACCTGCTTTCCCCTGTTAACTTCGTTTTCACCATTATGTGTTAATGCATAAATGCATAACATTTCAGAATTCCTAGTATCCTTTTTTGGACGTTGCGTCGTTCCATAACGATATATTTCACAGATTAGTTGGTACAAATGCAGCTGATACAATTACAATGCAAATTCGAAAAACAATTCCATTGAATCCTTTCTTGTTCCCTTTACCTTTCGGAGGAGGAGAGGAAGCGGCTCAGTCAATCCGTCTCAACAAAATTGGGGCAAAGAACCCGAATGGAGGCCATCAAAGAAAACATTTATTCATCAATCAAAGTCTATCCTTTCCGCCGAGGAATAATACCAGGGGAAGCACTAGTGGCTAATCCATTGACAAGTCTTTTATAGTAACCTTAGAAGAATGCGAAAGTTTGACAGCTCTATGGGGACCCAAACCGAGTCAAGCCGTCATGGTAAAACTTGTCAACTAGAGAACAGGCTGTCTAGACGTCGATGGGAAGTAGCAAATTGCTGAATAAATGCCCATCGAGAACATCTGCCGACCAATCCACCTGGACTAATCTACTCATGAGAGCATCACTGGAGCACGAACGACGGGGGGGGGGTGTACCTTGCAACTCTGCTGACTGTTCAAACTGTGCACCTTCATCTCACTCTGCAGCGCCTCGTAACGATAGCTGGAGCAATTGCGCGGTAGGAAGGTGTCGCTTCGACCCAACCGTTATTCACAACGACGAACGCATGTGCGTCGATGTCAAAGTTCTGAAGCAAAAACGCAGTCATAGGTAGGGAACAACCAGAAGTGAGAGGGCGCAGACATGTAGCGTGGCTGGCCATAGATAGGCGTATACCCTGTAGTGCGGCTCGCTATCTCTACCTGATTTGTCTGTGGGTGGAGTCCGAAACGACATCTAGCCATCTAGCTAACCTCCAGCCTAATTTCAGTACATTCTCGAATGGCAGAAGTGGTACAGCTCTACATCTGCGGATCCCTTCACCTCGCACATGGCAGGGATCAGGATTTTCGTGGATGAGTGTACAGCACACCTTCACATCTACTGTTACAAGAAATTTTTGAAATCCCCAAGCGACCAAGTACGACTCCATTTTTGAAACTCAGGAGTCGTACCTGGTCGCTGGGGAAATGGCGAACAGTAAGGCACACTATGGGCATTTCTGATGGGTCAATGCGACGTTTGCTCTCCACCCTAGACGAGGGCCTAGTAGGTTGAAAATGAAAAATTTTCGGCTGAAAGTGTAAAAGCATCGATCGTAGAGGCTAAGCCGGGTGAATCAGTTCAAAGTTAATTAGTTAGCTTTAGTTAGCGGCGACGAAAACGCTCATACACGTTATAGAAAAGGTTTTGTACCAGAATTACCGTAAAAATTCACCTGCTGCAGTTGTACAGCACCAAATACTTCACCTGTTTCCGGACTAAAAACTCTTACGAAGCCATCGTTACCAGCTGACACAACCATACGCGGATCTTTTCCATGCCTGAAAGGATTCTTCTTAGATCCTGAAAAGCTGTGAAGAAAATTTCCTTATTTCGTGTTCTAACGGTACTGGGACACTAGAAGTGTTCTGAGCGCCATCACCACAAGCAGGCACATGGCATGTCAAATTCTAGGTAGCGCGGTACAAAAGCAAAATTGTAGGTACAAATTGAGCGACAAGTGAAAAAGTGTAAAATAAACTGCCTATCAATAGCATCCTGCTTATGCCCCTTTACCTTATAGTACTTAATGAGTGCTTTGCAAAGACAAAGAGTGTTCGTACGAACTTTCGCTTGTCATTGGCACTCGTTTCCAGTA